ACCAAAAAAAAAAAAAAAAACAAACAAACAAAAAAGAGGCAAATCTGCTTTAGAAGCTGTGTTCATACAGCACTGAGAGGAAATTCCTACCTTTAGTCCACAAGAGACACTGCGCATGGTGGTGCATGCCTGTGATCCCAGCACTCAGGAGGCTGAGGCAGGAGGATCATGACAAGATAGAGGTCAGACCAGGCAAATTAACCAGACCTCCTGCTCCTCCCCTGAAAATGAGAGAGAGAGACAGAGAGACAGACATAGAGAGAGAGAGAGACAGAGAGAGAGACAACAGGGTTACCAGACAAAATAAAAATAAAGAAATGGGCATAAATGATGGAGCAGAAGTATGAATGGGATTCAGGAATAGAGAAGTTCATGTATCTTAAGAATGAGAATAAGTCTGGGTATTTAGCTCAGTGGTTCTGCTCCCTGCCTTGCAAGTACACAGTCCCGAGTTTAATCCCTGGTATCAAAACAAAACAAACAAAAAAAGAATGAGGATAGGTTGAAGACCAAGAACCAGGCTCAGGACCAATCGAATTACCAGTATGATGCTCCTCGTCACGGCTCTGGGACACGATAGGGAAACCTACAACCACAGCTACCATTGCGTTCAGAGTGCCAAACACTACGCCACATGACCCCAAGTAATCTTCCTCCCAAGAATTATTCTCAGTTCAGTCCTAAAGATTAGGGTGTAGCCTAGGACCAGCAGGGACAGTACTTGGGAAGAATTTAGCCCGCTGCCTGGACAAAGCAAACCCTCGCTAATGTTAGCTATGCTCTTTAATATGTTGCCTCTGTGGCCGAATAGGATGTGCTTTATTCCCTCCGTGTCCAGCCAATCCTCTGGTTTCTAGCATGTATTTCACCTTCTCTTTCTCAAATTTAACAAAAATAACAAATCAACTCCTTAATCTCCAAGTTTTATGAAGTACCAATTATACGGCTAGCACTGAAAGGGATTAAATAACAAAGATGAGAAGAGTGTCCTGTCCATCAATAGATGACAATTTAGCTAGAGAAAGAACCGTAAGTTATGCCATGTTAAGAACCCTGAGTGCAGACTCCCTGAGGGCAGAGAGGGCATTCTGACCTGCAAGAATTAGAGAAAGCTACAGAGAAGATGAAGTTAAAGTGGGGAAAACCAAACATGAAAGAAACAAGAAGGGCCCATCGTGCAGCCAGCGCAGTGGGAATACTGAGATGAGACAATGTGCTCAAAAGAACACAAAGCTGTTCATTTCCAAAGCAAACATGCATTAAGGACTCTTGGGTGCAAACAGTCCTGGAATCAAGGTGTTGATAAACTACTTCTAGACATAAGAAGGAGCACTCAGACTCAACGAGGTTCTGAAAGCACCGAGGATTCTCCGATCACCAGCTACCCTATGCTCCACCTTCAGATCTCCCTGCTTTGCCCTTTCCTCTTCCTCCTCCCAGCCTCCTCTGGTCCTAGTGCCCAAGTCACGCAGACATCCTCACCACATCCTCCTGTCAGCCTGGTCCACAGCCACCCCCATCCGCCTCCCCACCACAGTACCTGGTGGCACTGTCAGGCCAAGTCCTGGCTCGCCCAACTGAGGGTGCAGGGAAGGGGCAGGAGCTGCCCCAGTTAACCGATGTCCTCTGCCTGCCAGGGCAATGAGTCTTCAAAGGAGTGAGGCATAATCAGGAAGAAGAGGCAAGTGTCTGCTCTGTCACGGCCACGACATCTGACACCTGGTTACCCATCAGCAGCCCCTGACCAATGCGGCAACTGCCACTGGCCCCTGGATACTGGCTGCCCCGGCTCCACATAGGCGTCCCTCTAGGCACTCCTCCTCCAGTGACATATCACGCATCTACGCCTTCATCTCTTGTCTGCCACCCTATGAGAATGCGGTCTCATGGGAGTAACTTGTAGCATCCTTTATTTTGTTTTGAGACAGGGATTCACTATGTAGTCCAGGACAGTCTCAAACTCCCAGCAATCCTCCTGCCTCAGCCTCCTGAGTGCTGGAATTACAACTTCTAATGTTCTTTAGCAGCGTAGAGTATCTATGCTTAACAACAATTGATTGTGTATCTCATAATATCCAAGAAAGGGTTTTGAACGTTCCCAACATAAAGAAATGCTAAATGCTTTGATGCAGATGTGTGAGTTACCCTGATCTGATCTATGAGCATTATATACATGTGTTGAGGTATTATTGTACCCCACAAATACACATAATTATTATGTGCTGATAGAAGAAGTAAAAATTTGAAGTGTTTGTAAATGGGGAGGGTGAGAGGGGGTGAAGGGAGGGCAGGGACAAGGGGAAAAAATGAAAACCAAGACCTGTTATGTAAAAGTACACGATCCCAATGATGAATGTAACTGTACTGTATACCTAAAATGTACCAATAAACTCAATGAGAGAAAAAAATAAAAAGAAATAAAACTTTGAAAAAGAGAATGCAGTCTCCAGAATGGCAGAAACTTCTAACCATGTTTATTGTTATAGCCACAGCACCTAGAACATTCCTAGCACACAACAGGTACTCAAAAACGCCTGCTGAATAAATCAATCATTGGATGGACACTGCCTTTCCAGCCTGGGTATTACATTAGGCTCTTGCTTTGACTCTCTGAGCCACCCCATAGCTTTTCCATAAATTTCCTATTTGCTTAACTTAGCTCTTTGTAGCCAAAAAAATTCTGAGGAAGCCTCAGCAAAAACCAGTGCTGATGGTAACAGAGTATGTCAGCGATGTCTTAGCTGCTAAAGAAACTGCTAGGCCAGCACACCCAGAAATCAGGATAGAACTACATATACCCGGCCCCACAACCAGAAGAGAGGGTTATTGCCGTTCACGGCTTCAGGCCACAGTCCGTCAGCTCATCCTGGTTCCAGGGCAGGACCAGGATGGCAGAAGGGCATGGTGGAGCAAAAGGTGCTGAGGAGGATTCTCCCAGGCCCGACCAGGCCCCGCCCCACAGCACACCCCTCACCGCGCTGCGCATCTAGGTTCTCATCTACGCTCCCCTCACCGCGGGGGAATTCTCCTAGGAGCACAGGGCCCAGGCCAGATGCCTCTCACACACAAGAATCTGGGGTGCACGTTTCAGATCTAAACCATAACAATACAAGACCAAACCAACTTTAGATGCACATATCGCATAAACCTCTGTATAGATTCTGTGCAGTTTTCCAAGAGATAAACTGGGTTGTTGTTGTTATTGTTGTTTTTGGTACCAGGGATTGAACTCGGCTCCTTGTACTTGCTAGGCAGGCACCAGAACCACCGAGCTAAAACCCCAGCCTAAATGAGGTTAAGGTCTTAAGAGAGGTAAGATACAAAGGAACTTAAGCTTATTTAAGCCATCAAGGGTCACAAATTGCTTATCAAATGTATTATGTGGAGAAAATCCTAAATTGGGGGGCAGCGGTTGAGACAGGGCCTTGCTGTACAGTTTTAGGTTGACCTTGAGCTATGTAGCCTAGGCTGGCCTTAAACTCACAGTGATCCTCCTACCTCAGCCTCCCAAGTGCTGGGATTACTGGTTGGAAATCCTAAATCAGAAAAGGGGTTATTTTGTGTTTTATTTTATTAATGAAATGTTCACTCTTCTTTAAAGCATGCCTGGCACAGTCACACAACACTGTGAAGGCAGCAGCATCTGCCAACCTTCTTCGAAGGAGAAATATTCCAATAATCTTCTGTTTGAGACCAGCTGAGATTGTGTGGGCTGCTACAACAAAATACTGTAAACTGAGCTAGAAACAACAGAAATTTGTTTCTCATAGTTCTGAGGGCTGGGAAGTAAAAAATCAAATCAGACTTGGTGTCAGTCAGGTCACTTTCTATTTTACAGTGCCATCTTGTTGTAACCTTCCTTCACATGCGGGGAGAAGCCAGGCTGCCTCTTAGGCCTTTTTTTGTGTGTGTGGTAGCACGGATAGAATCCAGGGCCTTAGCACTGAGCTACAGCCTCACTTTTTCTCTTTTATTTTAAGACAGGGTCTTGCTAAGTCACTAAATTTCGTAGACTGAGCATGAACTAGTGATCCTCCTGCCTTGGCTTCCCCAAGTGGTGGGATTACAGGTGTGTGTCGCTACACTTACTTCTTAGGAATTACTCTGAAGCAAACAGACAAATAGTGATTAGCATGGGATACAGTCCTAAATTATAACAAACATTCAGCATGTGTCTATGTATTTCTAACATTTCATATTCAATTTCTTTAAACATTAACAAAACTACACATAAATTCTCCTTCCAAAAACAAGAATAAATAAGTCTTGCTCACTGAGGCCAGGCCTCATTAGAATCACAGTGCCGTGGAATTAATACTGTATCCTGTGAACAAAAATTAAAACTCTCTTTTTTGAAAGTATTACTGTCATTCTAAGCTTCTGTGAAAGAAGATACTGGTTTTGTCTTTTGGCATTTATAAAACATTTACGTCTACCTCATTATTTAATCTCTGCAGCGTTATAGGAAGTTTTTTTTTGATATAATAGTTTCTGTTTGTACATCATATCCGGATATAAAGGTAGAGGGGAACTAAAAGAGGTTTAGACCTAATGTCAGTCAGACCTGATTTCCGACAGTAATGAATCCCTTCTATGACCCATCGGAGTTGAGAGCACAGGACAAACTGGCACAAATGCTTCACTGCAAGCTGAGGAGCGAGGGTGTTAACGGAAAACCAAGGCCTGGTTCTCGTCCCATTCTCAGATTTTCCCATCAAAAAGCCACGGCTGCTGCACAAACACATGGAGAGGGTGAGGCCTTCCGTTTTCAAACTCCACCCCTCTGGCTAGGGGTGGAACCCCAGGTCTGCCCACTGCACTGAGCTACCTCTACCGCCTTCTAAAAATAAATCATCCGCTGCATAAAGGCGGATCCAGAAACAGATCCAAATACATATGCAAATTTACTGCAGGACGCAGGTCCCAGGCGCGGGTCATTGGGGAGGGGGTACCAGGGATCAAGGGTCTTTGTGCTTGCGAAGCAGGTGGCAGAACCACTGAGCTAAATCCCTGGCCCAAGGATGGTTTTTTCTAATGGTTCTGGGGAATGAACGTTGGGCCTGTGCATTGAGCTACAGTCCCAATCGTTTGAAAAAGTTTTGAGTCAGGGACTTACTAAACCGCTAAGTTGCCAAGGCTGGGCTCGAATTTATGATCCTGCCTTAGCCTCCCAGAGCTGGGATTACAAGCACGCCCTCGCTGCCGTTCAGTAGCAGGTCTCTCTGAGCCCTACCTGCTCAGGTACGGGTCCTGGCTACACTCACCGCTACTTCAGGAGCTCCTGAGCAACGCGACCGCCTCGGGGTCTCCGGGGTGCTGAGAAATCAGAGGCGTCTAACCGAGCTCTTTCCTCTCGGAAGGCTCGTGAGGCCTCCGCATCCCGCCGG